TCCTGGTTCATCGGGTCACATCTCTAATTACAAAAGAATTAGGTTTCTTTTATTTTTAATACAATTTCTGAGGGAGAGTTTTAGATTGATATAAGGTGACAGGGGTGGTTGGAGGATTATGGAAAGGTCCATCATGGGAATGGAAATAGGTTGTTTTTTTTGTTTTTTTTTAACTCTCCTTAATAACTTACTTAGGTTTAAGTGTACCCAGTTAAGAGGCCAGACAATTGACCTCTTAAATAATTTTTAGACAGGAAGAGAAAAGAAGAAAAAAAGGGAAACAAATAGTAAAGCAGGTAAGGGGGGGGAGATGAAGAGGGAAGAAAAGGTTAAGTAGGACAGAGAGGGGGAAAAGGAAGAGAGAGTTATCATATTTAGACATCTCATGATAAAACTTGAAATGCACAACATTTGAAATCTACATCAATATAAATTATAGTTAATACATAAATTATTAAAGATTACCAGCAAAATAGGAATAAAATAAAATAAATCATATTAATAATAGTATTAATCTTGATTAATACAACTGTAATGCTTATATATATATATATATATATATATATATATATATATATATATAATTATTATTTATAAAAAATTATAACATAAGTATGTTATAAAATCACTACAAAAATAGCCCTTTTGTTTCAACACACTCGGTGTCTTATCAAGTGATGATGTTGAAGATAAAATAAATGGTTTTAAAAGTTTCAGATTAATTAACGATCCTACACTAGAGGGAAACATTGTTACAAAAGCTAGAATAACCAATCAAAAATGAAGTATAGAAAGATTCAAAAGCTTGACAACGAAATCATGTTATAATAGCTATTTAGATCTTTAAAATGCGTGTAATATTAAAAATAATTTATACTAACCAATAATTATAAAATTATATGATAAAATTTAATATTAAAATTAAAAACTGGCAATTTTAAAATCCAAATTTAATCACTATTAAGTTTAAAAACTACAAAATTATTGAGAAAAGAAAAAATATATATGTTTATTCAATTTATTTCTTCGTTGAAATTAGGTTCGACAAGACGTTACAATATGTCCGGCCATTTGACAATACATGTATATATTTTTTTTATTCTAAAGTGTGTGAATGTGGTCTTAAACTCAAGCGCAAAACAACAAAAACACAATCAGATTATAATACATAAGCACCCAGACATATTTAGATATATATATACACACACACAAAAAAAAGGGAAAGAAAAGAAAAGGCAACGAGACAGGAACATCACTACAACCCTTTATGAAAAAAGGAAACGGGGAAACCAACACCTATACACACACACAATTAAATGTGAATACACTCTACCTACACATAGACACCGATAGATACACGTACACGCATCCACAGACAATGATCTAGACAATCAGATACCACAACCAATAAATATTTAAGACTTAAAGTATCATTAAATAAATGCTAACCACTTCTTAAATTATAACTTAAGGGAGCAAATATACAAAGATAAAAATGGTTAAAAATAATATTATTTAATATATTAAAACGAAAATTCCAAAACCACAAATATCAATAAAAATATATTTTAATCATATAAGTTGATAATAGTTTCATTATATATTAGGCAAAGAAAAACAGGATAAAGAAACCCACAGAAATAAGTGTACTGACATACCAAAGTTTCCATACCCACAAATACACACAAACAAACTCATACATAATAGGTGCCAACACACACATATACATCCAAAAACATACATAAATATATATACACACATACATACATATCTACAAACAAACATATATATAAATATATCTATCTACAATAACAACTACCAATATATACACATGCATACATATAAATACAACACTCAACCAAATACATATATAAATGTACTAACATATACATACATAAATATACATTCAAATACCAACACACACCAATATACATATACCCTAACATACAAATATATAAACACATTCATACAAACACAAATATACTTAAATATAAATATACATACACAATAAAATAGGACACATACAGATATATACATATATATATACACACAGATATATATATACACATACATACACACATACACACACACATACATATATATACAAATATATCGTGGCACAAAGCCGAAATTAGGGGGCACCCAGTGAGGAACGAACTCACTACTCAGTCGCAATTGATCTAGCGAACCATGCTTGCCAACCATTATACCGCCATAAATTGGGGTGCATACACATACATATATATATATATATATATATATATATATATATATATATATATATATATATATATATACATACACACACATACATATACACACATACACATATACATACATATACTTATATACATATATATATATTTATATATATATATATATATATATATATATATATATACACACATACACACATATACACACACACACATACACACATACATATATACACACACACATACACATATACATCAACAATTTTTAACCTTTTCTCTTCTAATCTACCATACCTTCCCACATTATATATATACACACACACACACATATATATACACACACATACACACACACACGTATATATATATATATATATATATATATATATATATATATAATAAATACACTTATATTCAAACCTACACATTCCTCAGTGCAAATACTCTAACCAACACATAAATAAATATATATACATATACACCAACACTAATAACACTATGCAGGTAAACAATACACATTTATATCGTAAGTATGACCATCACTCGAGAAAACTGATCACAGAAAATGTGCCCCCCTGTAGGATTCGATCCTGCGTTACTCTTTTCAGAAGAAAGTACCATCTGATCCGGCGAGCTTTTACCGTTCGACTACAAAGAGCTCCACAATTAATCAGGGTTCTGTTTACCTTTAGAGTACACTCACTCGTTCGTACTTTCTCGAAAGGCTTATCTACCCAGTTTCGTATCCGTATAATAATGGATAGCGGCTCGGTTTGAGGAATCGGAGAGCCGAGTTCGGATTCCAGTCGAATCCACTGCGTTCACTTTTCGTGCTAATATCCTTGGGAAAAGTATAAATCCACTTCTTTTCCCCCTAGCTATGGATAAATAGCAGGACAGACCAAGTTCTTTAGCCTGGGATGGCAACTGGTCTAACGCAGAAAGAAATGGCAACCTATTGCGGGAAAAAAATCTGCCTTGTCAGTCATGTATCAAAAGATACATGATCGCCTAAACGTGTATCACGCATGGCAAATAACTGACTGAAATACACTTACGCACTTGGGAAAGATATGAATCCTCTTCTTCTCCCCCCCCCCAGCTATGGGTAAATAGCAAGACAGACCGGGTTCTGTAGCCTCGGATGTCAACTGGTCTACCGCAGAAAGAAATGTCATCCTACTGCCGGAAAAACAAAATTGCCTCGTCAGTCGATATATCGAAAGATACATGATCGCCTAAGCGTTTATCACGCTTGAATTAATGGATTTTATTTTTTAATCCAACATATTCTTATGACATCAAACGTTACTTTTAGTGGATACCCGTGTTTGAGTAGACGTTCCGTTTGATCCTGAACCCATTAACATGTGTTGCTGTGAAAGTATTGATTAACATTGTATTGAGTAATACATCCAGATCCTGCCTTTCTACACATCTTCCTCTCCCAATTTAGTAGATTACTTTCTACCGTTAGTATCATGTAGTACAGTAAAAGTTATCTCCTGGGATCTGGGGAAGAAATGGGGTCATTCAAGAAATACGATGAAGGACAAAGCATGGTACCTTCGCGATCTACTCGCTTATGCAATAACTTGATTTCATTTCCAGTCGTCCACTTTGAACGCACCAACTCATTCTCTAACGTTCAATCTAATTTCACTGAACCAACTGACGAGTGCTTTTGAACGGTCGTCTGCTATTAACTCTACATACCTACTGAACAGGACCGCCATGTTGTAACGTGTTGATGACTATCTGAATTGTCGCCACGGTTTCATGAATATTTATGACGGAAAAGAAGCGACGAAGCCCCGTTTGGTGAATATGAAGATATTTGAAGGCACGAAATTGATTGCACATTGTTGGTTTGATGCGTGTATAAGTCATGAATTGATTAATGAAATTTGTTTAGGTAGATTTGGAAAATATGCGTTTCTGCGCATGCTCGTTTCTTCTGCGCGGTTTTACTTAAGGAAGGAAACGATAAATCGAACTCCCAGTGAAGTTTCAAACTGAGCATTTTTTTTTCTGATCTCATTCTTCTTTTGTGTGTCGTGCACCTTTAGGACGTTAGGCGATCATGGCTCTACGAAAAAACAAAGAAATAAAGGCAAGAAATATGTGGATTACTTTATAATACTTCGTAAGATGAACGAGAAAGGGGTAAAAAACGAATACAAATTAGGAAGGGGTAAAAAAATGAATAATAATTAGGAAAGTGTAAAAAAGAATAAAAGATAGGAAGGGGTAAAAAAATGAATAAAGAAAAAGGAAGGGGTAAAAAATGAATAAAAACTAGGAAGGGTTAAAAACAGAATAAAATCGAGGAAGGGGTAAAAAATAAAATCTAGAAAGGTGTAAAAAAGAATAAACAATAGGAAGGGGTAAAAAAATGAGTAATAACTAGGAAAGGGAAAAAAAATAAATTATAGGAAGGGGTAAAAAACAATAAAAACTGAGAATGAACTAGAAAGTGGTAAAGTAGAATAAAATGAACAAAGAAAAAGGAAGGGGTAGAAATGAATAAAAATTTGGAAGGTTAAAACAAGAATAAAATCTAGGAAGGGGTAAAAAATAAAAACTAAGAAGGGGTAAAAAAGAATAAACAATAGGTAGAGGTAAAAAAATGAATAAAATCTAGGAAGGGGTAAAAAATAAAAACTTGGAAGAACTAAAAAAGAATAAGCAATAGGAAGGGGTAAAAAAATGAATAAAACTCGGAAGGGGTACAAAAAGAATAAAATCTAGTAAGGGGTAAAAAAAAATAAAAACTAGGAAGGATTAGAAAAAGAATAAACAAAAGGAAGGGGTAAAGCAATAAGAAGCACTAGGATGGGGTAAAATTGAATAAAATCTAAGAAGGGGTAAAAAAAAATAAACAAAAGGAAGAGGTAAAAAAGAATAAACAATAGGAAGGGGTAAAGCAATAAGAAGCACTAGGATGGGGTAAAATTGAATAAAATCTAAGAAGGGGTAAAAAAAATAAACAAAAGGAAGAGGTAAAAAAGAATAAACAATAGGAAGGGGTAAAGCAATAAGAAGCACTAGGATGGGGTAAAATTGAATAAAATCTAAGAAGGGGTAAAAAAAATAAACAAAAGGAAGAGGTAAAAAAGAATAAACAAAAGGAAGGGGTGAAGCAATAAGAAGCACTAGGATGGGGTAAAATTGAATAAAATCTAAGAAGGAGTAAAAAAAATAAACAAAAGGAAGAGGTAAAAAAGAATAAACAATAAGAAGGGGTAAAAAATGAATAAAATCTAGGAAAGGGTAAAAAAGAATAAACAATGGGAAGGGGTAAAAATGAATAAAATCCAGGAAGGGGTAAAAAATAAAAACTAGGAAGTGGTAAAAAAATAAACAATAGGAAGGGGTAAAAAAATGAATAAAATCTAAGAAGGGGTAAAAAAAATAAAAACTAGGAAGGAGTAAAAAAGAATAAACAAAAGGAAGAGGTAAAAAATGAATAAAAACTAGGAAGGGGTAAAAAAAATAATAAAATCTAGGAAGCGGTAAAAAAAAGAATAAATTACGTCAAGTAATATCATGTGTGGAAATATTGTTTTTATTGTTGTATTGACGAATTCAACCATTTTCTTTTGATTTCTTGATATAATTGTGTGCGTTGTCTTGACGTCATTTTCACTTGACAATATGAATACAATAACGTTTTCTAAATTCTTCTAGTTGCTAAGAACATTCTTACATTGACCTAACATGTTCTCAAATGTTGACTTCGTGCAGTTCTGCACATATCCATTATCACGTCACGAAAATAGCCAAGAATGGTTCCATTGCCTTAAAGCACATCTCCGAGTTCAGATTTTTCTCGACAGCCTATCCGCTCAGTTTTGTATCCGAAACGTAAACAAAGCATTTTCTAAGGAATTAATGAATTTTATTTATTTTTATCCGACGTATTTTTTTTTACTTATTTATTACTTCAAACGTTATTTTTAATGGACTCTCGTATTTGAGAAGGGCCCAATTTTTTTTGTTTTTATATTTTACAATTAACATTGTTTGAAGTGATACAAATATGTTAGTATATGTTTTATTTGTAAATGGAACAAGAAAAGTATTCCTTCTTTAAACCAACAGGTGAACAACTGCTAGAAAGAAAAACAAAGAAAATTTCCTCAAGAGGTCGATTTGGTCCTTCCTGTTGGCTATCATGGGAAAAAATTATTATCTTAAAACTTAAATCTGATATCCGAAACCCGTGTTTATCTGATATTATTATTATTATTATTATTATTATTTCTTTTTACCTTTTTGGACTCTCACAGCTATAAATAGGAGCAGGTACTGCCTTTTGGGGGTTGAAGTTTCCAGCAGTTAGCTCTGACAGTTGGACTGAACATTCTTGTTGTAACACCCTCGTTTGCAAATGTTTGTATTACTGTTTCTGTTAATTTCCCTGCCCTCCATTAGAATGTCTGACGCTTAATTTCTCGAGAGCACTTCTCTGCGGCTGCTCGGTCTCACGTTGACTGCTGACCTGAGATGGAACAAATACATTGAGTCAATTGCTTCGTCCACCGCAAGGAAAGTTGGCTCCCTGTGCCGCGCCAGGAAATTTTTCTCCCCGGAATCGATCCTCCAGATCTACAAATCAACAATTCGCCCTTGCATGGAGTATTACTGCCATATATGGTCTGGAGCCCCTTCTGTTTGCCTCGGGGTTCTTGATAGGCTCCAGAGGCGGATATGCAATGTAATTGGCCCTGATCTGGCATCTCGTCCACAGTCACTTTCTCACAGACGCGCCGTCGCCTCTCTCTGTCTTTTTTACAAATACTTTCATGGCAATTGCTCCGAGGAGCTGCATTCGCTGGTTCCCAGACTTCATGAGTTCAAGCGTCCTACGAGGCTGGCATCCCGCTCTCACCCCTTCACTATCGAACCTCCTAAATGTAGCCGTCTCTTCTACTCCAATAGCTTCATGTCTCGCGCCTCTCGCCTGTGGAACTCCCTTCCCTGTTCCAGTTTCCCTGAGAGCTATAATCTCCAGCTATTCAAATGTAATGTCAATCGACATCTCCAGTTGGCTTGATCTATCCATTACCAGTCTCCTTATCCTTTCTTCTATCACTCCTATCTGATCTTGCTCCAAATTTTCTGTAACCCCTTGCGTCCTAGTTGCTTCCCGCCTTGCTTGGGGTGAAACGCTTAAAAAAAATATTTGTTTAACTCAATTTCTATCTTTGTGTCTTTATTTCTGGCCCTTACACAGCCAGAACACATTTTAACGTACATTTCTTTGTCACGTGCTTGGTCATGGCCTTTGATCTAGGTCAGTCGGAGGATGTGATTCTTCGTTTTTTTCCACATAATTAAACAAACAACAAGCAATTAACAAAAAAAAAGTTATTTGCAGGATACGGGCTGTCTGTTAGAACTTTTGGGATTTCCTAAACAGATGATGCCCCAGGGATTTTGATTTGTTGTTGAGTTCGTTTTTTTATCAGACCCAAAGCTCCAACCGGATCAGAAACTGCTTTATGTCCCACATTTCTTCTTCTTCTTCTTCTTCTTCTTCTTCTTCTATTTGTAGTTCAGTTTTTTCACGCTATCAATGATTTAGCTTACGAAAGATTTTGTCACAGACGGCTCTAATTTCAATGAACATTTTTAAGGTGGACATTCTGAAAAAAACTATATCCAGACTCCACCTTCATCTCCGCCTTTAAAACGCATGAAAATAATTACGTGTGCAAACTACTAACGTCGCACACCGTTTAATGGAATCCATGATTAATTAATTTCTTCTTGCTCAATATTTTTTCATGTTAAAAATGTTATGTTTCATAAAGACGTGAAATAGAAATATCTCTCGGTAGAAAAAATAGCAACAGAACGACAAAGATGACAACGACAAAGTTTATATCAAGACCAAGTTGAAATAAAACGATCACTTAATAGACAAAGGTATCTGAGTGCCTTACATGAAAAGCTTGAACAAATAAGACTGCAATTTCAAAAACGTAGGAATAAATCATTTTGCCTAAATACAGATAAATATTTTATTTGTATAAATTACTAAAACGACGAAGGGAATTAATCACTCATAGATTTACTAACTTAAGCTGTTTTACCTCTCTTGCAACTACAGATGAGACAGGAAATATATAAGTAAATACATATTGATGATTATTATATGGTTTCATTATTACTATTATTATTATTATTCACTAGTGTTCTTGTTCACACCAAAATATCTGATGGTTACGAATCTCTGAAGATTGTGTGACTGCAAGATTTTTCAAATCTACCATTTTAAACCCCCTTGCAGACCCCAGTATTGTCAGAAAATTATCCAGCCTTTCTCACATCACAAATTTCTTTAATCCCATCTCTGATGTATTTTGGCACGTTTCCAAGTACTCTTCGAATTATGAGAACGACCATAATAGTCATTATTTCACAGGTTATTATTCCAGGAGGATGCATCGTTTATTCCCGAATCTCGACAACGATTTGCTGCGTTTTAGAGCAATTTTACGTTCATCATTGATCACCAACAGTTGAAGAATTTTTCGTGCGTCGGGTTTCCAGTTTAAAGAAAAAAAAACAATCCACACTTGTTTAAATTCTCACTTTATTTTATTTCTATGTCCGATATGCAACGGAATAGCGAGTCGCATCAGTTCTTCAACTGTTTTTTTTTCTTCTTTTCAGCGACAGAAAAGTGATACGAAGTTCGAACACAGAAAATCAGCCAAGCTCTGAAGCATTATAGACTTCACTCTTTTGGTTTGAGAATTTATAAATCAAGAATAGAAAAAGTAAAGAGAAAAATATAATAGCTGTCGGAGAAACGAAGTAACAAATCCACTCATCATTATTTTTTTTCTTTCTATTAATTTTATTCTTTTTTTCTTGCTGAAATGTTAAAATTGGACAAATTCTTCACGGCTCGATGCCGCTTAGCGATTTTCAATGTAAAAATGAGAAAAAACGGTTCCACGATCAGCCAAATTGGTGGAATGCAACTCACAGAAGAAAGTAAATAAAAGGAATAATGGATTCAATTTTGTGACTTTATTTTCAGCAACGGAGCATTTCCTATAGATTTATACATTATAATGAGTTTTATACATTGGAATTACATTGAAATGAGTAGTATACATTGGAATTACATCTCTATCTATAAAAGGCAGGATATGTGTGTGTGTGTGTGTGTGTGTGTGTAACGAATGCACAATCGCAATTTTCGACGGATTTGCACCAAAATTTACATGCACATACTCCAAGTTAGCGGGAAGGCCAAGAACGACTTTGCATTTCCCAACTCCCATCGATAGTGGAAATAATCGATTTTTTCATGCTTCTACGGCAGTTTTCATGTAGTTTGCGGCCATTTTCTATTGGCCAGAGTGAGAGCCTATAGCTGGCTGCCACGAATAGGCAGGAAGATTCTATTGGCCAGTTTGAGAGCCAACAGCTGACTGACACGAATGTTAACTAGCATGCTAGCATGCAAAAAAATCGATAGATGCATTCGTCACAAGTGGGAAAAATGTAAATCTGCATGGCACTTTACTCCAATTGGATCATTCGCTTGCTTAAACTCAATGTTGATTCTGATTCCGCAGAACTGGGTTGGGTGTGGAAAAGTATTTGTTGTTAACATTCTTTTTTCATTCGGTTTTTCCAGTTACGAGTCCTTTTTTAAAGCTGATGGTTTTGTGTTCATTTTGTTTAGTTCTTTTTTCGTAACAGATTTAATGTTTAGTATAGAGCTTAGAAAAAATCGCAGTGTGAGATAGGCAATAAGTAAAGCATATAGCAACATTAGCATGGCAAAGGGCACTCCTTTAAAGGCAAGGAAGGGCAAAAATATTTTAAGTCAAGTGATAACGATTGCTGTATGAGTCGTACGATTTTTGAATCAAGCACGGGCAACGCCGGGCCATGCTGCTAGTTTATTATACAATGGAATACTTTGAAATATTATACATTCGAATTTACAGTGTATTCCCAAACTGTCACTCATCTAGGTACTGACCAAGCCCTACGTTGCTTAACATCGGCCATCGGACGAGAACTGGTGTTTCAACCTGATATGGTGGTAAGCCTCAAGACCCTCGATTATCTGGACAAGTTGCCATCAATTACGCCATTAAAAATAAATGGATGTCTACTCGAACACGTGTATCCAGTAACTATATATATATATATATATATATATATATATATATATATATATATATATATATTTATTTAAAATATGATTCCAACTCGCGACATAAGAGGTCTCATGTTTTAAAAAAGAGCCGAAAAGTTCAATATAATTATTTGAATTAAATTGAGTTAAAGTACCAAGCTCTGTTCCATCTTCAAGCGAAATTGTTTTGGGGAATAACGTATTTGAAAAAATTTCGCTTGAAGATGGAACAGAGCTTACTTTAACTCAATTTAATTCAAATAATTATATTGAAGTTTTCAGCTCTTGTTTTGAAACATGAGACCCTTATGTCGCGAGTTGGAATCATATTTTAAATAAATAATTATATTTATGCTCTACTTTTGTATCGAGCACTATTTTTTAAAAATAATGACTAAAATACTAAGGAACTTTGGATTATTTACCTAACCAGTTCCTTCCTATTTTCTATATATTTTCATATATATATATATATATATATATATATATATATATATATGATCATAATATATATAGTTATAATTATAATATAAACTGGTCAGTAAAATAGTTCTAAGATAAGTTCATTTTCACTTTAGTTCACCCAATATAAGACCTAAGAGCCACTCAAAGTAGAGGGTTACTGAATGAGGTGTGTAATAAGAATGTAGGAGAAAGAAGTAGGAAGTGGAGATGAAGTGGATATGACGGATAGTTAATGATTGATCCTAGCCTTGGTGTGGTTAAGATTGTAGTGTTCAGGGAAATATCCATGCAGGAGTCTGTTCCATAAAGGAGTCAAGACTGGACAGCTCCATCCCAGACATGGAGGCAATACATCATTTTTGGTCTGATCTGACCTTTGTAAAGATAAAACCTGGAAGAAAGAGTCAACAAATTTCTAATGTGGTTGAAGGAACCAAACCATCTTTAGGGATGGATCCTACATACACCCTTGTGCAAATTGATTGAAACAACCGCTTCAGTTTCCTTTCTTTCAGTATACGGTCAGTTTTTGACCCACTGGAGTGACAGGGTGTAATCCATTTCTATTTTGTCCTCCGATTAGGTCATTTGCAGTGACGTGCAGTAATATGAATCTCTTTTCGGGGTGTATGATGAAATGATTTCATCAGATTTTTATCACGCCCAGACACTATTGTTTCGACTGTCGATTAGTTGTCCTAATAGATGCGATGGACGTTACTCAAAGGAAGCGTACGAAAATTGAAACGCTATGACGAACAGCCTTACCAGTGAGCAATTCAGAGTACTATAGACCGGCACGGAAACTCTCCTGATTTAAAACCCATCGAGAATCCGTGGTCAATTTACAAGGAACGATTTCGTGGAATGGACATATGAAGTATTAACATGTGCACTGGGTCATGTTTCATTGGAAAATTACAAAGAAAAGTAAATAATAACGGAATTATTCTTTTTGTTTCAATTAACTTGCATAAGGATATGTATATATATGTATGTATAGCTGGCCACTCGTATTCGAGGATATCCGTCTACTAGGGCGGCCAGCCAATCCCTATTTCAGACGCTTGCTCAGGCACATTAGTACTTATTCAATACCCACAGAGCTCACCTATAGTTTATACTGTAACTATACTGAGCAGACCTTAGTTACATTTTCTGGGAAAGATCCTGTTATCTAGCGTGATCAACAATTTGAACAAGGCCAGCACGCTTAAGCCGTCGGCCACGATGACTTGTGACTTCGTGCTAACACAGCTAAGTGCCATCTGCCCAATTTCACTCACAAGCGTGGATCGAACCGTGGTATGGTTTTCAGGCACTTTCCAAGGGTGCCGTACGCTGGGATCGACCCATCCAGCCTGATAACGTCAGGAAGTCTGACAAATCGAGCCTGGTGTGATTCGAACCCGAGTCTCATGGTCAAAACAAAAGAATGTAGTTATAATCATAATAATGATATATTTTTTTTGCATATGTAGCAATCCTTCTTTTATATATGTTTCTTTGAATGTTATAGACAAGAATAGAAGTTTTTATTCAGTTTTATTAATGTCCTTACCTATGTTCTTTTATGAGGAGTAAAAGAGTTTAGAAACTGTCTATAGTTATTATTGAGTAGCAAAATAACTTTTAGGGAGATGCTTCTGAGTAAAAAGTTTTCAGCGCCTCCTGCTATATGTATATGTATATATGTAAATGTGTTCGCGCGCATGTCCGAAAGAGAGAAAGAGAAAGACGTCGCCTTTAGCGTGTACCCCAAACGACAGCGAAGTCTTAAGTTCAGCGCCCGGTATTTCGTAAGTTACGGAGTCGATGGAACCGCGCTGGTTTTTTTCTTTTTAATCATTTCGCCCCAAGCAAGGTGATAATGCCACTAAGACACAAGAGGTTACTGGGAGTAGAAAACAATAAGAAAACTTTAGAAAGGACAATAAAAGAACAGAATTCAAAAAGACAGAAGATGGCGACTGACATTGCATTTAAATCTTTGAATATTGTTGGTAGCCGGAAGATAAGGAATGAAAAGGGGGGCAATAAATGTGAGAGAAGAAACTATTAGAATAGAACTTACGGTTACATTTAGCGATCCCAACAGTAAAATTGTGAGACCTAATAGCCAATCTAGTAGCACGCTTCAGTTCACACAGGTCGAAGTACTCAGGAGGTAAGCTATATTTATTCTGTACAATACAGAAATGTGGCACAAGGCCGAAAAGGGGATTGGGGAAAGGACGGTCTTCTTCTGTCTTAACTATAACTTACCTAGCCGCAAACTTTTCAGTACGAACAATATTCCTTACACCAAAACAACGCATTCATACGTACCTTTCTTACTACAATCACCATAATACCTCTTTGTCTCTATGAAAATACTAACTAGTCCCCATATTAAAAATTCATTGTCTGTTATAAAACAACAATTCTAAAAAACTAGCCCCAATGAGTATTTACAATATGAACACAAAAACTATTTATAAGAAACTAAAGAAAAATAAGATTAGTAATAAAACCCACCACAATTACTAAATGTGACAGAAACATCACTTCACTGGCCGAAATCAATGCGGGACTATAATAGTATAAACCATTCATTCATACCAATCACTCACACTGACATGCACTCATTCAGACATAACAACAAATACGAAAAACCACTCACGCGAAACGAAAGGCGTCCGCATCCACCAGCGAACTGACATCACTGACCACCTAACAAGGGAGGGGATGGGGAATTAAACTTAAAGAAAAATAGGGACAGAAATAAAAAGGGCCAATGAGCATACATACCAGGAGGTAAGCTCATTAGAGCAACCGTCATGAAAATATTTATAGATAAGGCAGAGGAATTTTTGTAGCCTGTAGATGGCAGGGCGTGTCACAAGGGAGGAGAGCGAAACATGAAACTATTAGAATAAAACTTACGGTTGAATTTAACTAGTTCAACAGTAAAATGGTGAGACCTAGTTGCCAGTCTAGTAGTAAACGGGGTACTAAGGAAGAAAGCGATATTTATTTCGTAATAAAATATAAAAATATGGCAAAAGTCCAAAAGGGGTGATAGGGGAAAGGCTGGTCTTCTGTCTTATTATTAAACTTAGCTAGTCGCAATCACTGACCCAAACATATCACAATATTACTTATACCAAAACAACACCTGTCTATATTTCTAAGATGACGTCTTCTAATTATTTACATTATTTACATTATTCAGAGCGTTGTTCTCATTTCTAATATCATATTCACAACGTTTCGAGCGTTGTACGCTCCGACCTTCTTCAGGATCTCTCTATATTTCTAGGACATGGTATTGTAATTATCTACATTATTTACATTGTTCGGACTGTTGTACTCATTTCTCTTGTCATATTCACGACGTTTCGACTGCTGTACGCTCCGGCCTTCTTCAGGATCTCTCTATATTTCTGGGACAAGGTATTGTAATTATTTACACTGCTCGGACTGTTATCCTCGTCTTTATTGCCATATTCACGACATGGTCCCGCGGATAAAAGCGTTGGTTGGATCCAGTCACTTGACCCAAAGAGCTGGCTATAAAACAAAAGAAAAACCTGGAGAGCAGAGTTAAAGGGAGATCGCTGAGACCTCCGGAAGAGGCATGGCACGTGGAACTAGAACAATCTACCCCGGTGGATGAAATAAAGGGTTCAGTTGGATATTCCAGTCACCTGAAGAAGGCCGAAGCGTACAACGGCCAAAAAGTCGTGAATATGGCAATAAAGATGAGGACAACTGTCCAAACAGTGTAAATAACCAAAATAGGACCTTCTTATATACCATTCATGGAGGCACGGTGGAGTAATGGATAGCGGCTTGGGTTGGGGAATCAGAGAGCCGAGTTCGAATTCCAGTCGAATCCATTACATTAACTTACGTGCTAACACCCTTGGGAAAGGTATGAATCCTCTTCTTCTCCCCCATCTATGGGTAAATAGCAGGACAGACTGGGTTCTATAGCCTTGGATGGCAACTGGTCTAGGAGAAGGAAAACTCTTAGAGGAGGGTGAATGGAGTCTCTCTGAGCCTTGGTTGGCAATCCATTTAGTGTTGGTGTCACGATAAAAACACCCTTGATAGCCCTAGCGAAGCATCAAGAATTCAGCTATTTGACAAGATTATGAACTACACCAATCAAAGTATTAGTGAGTTCAATCTCGGCTGAGGCCGCAAGATGATGATGATACCATTCTTAATACATCCATCATAATACGTCAAAATCTCTATGAAGTCCTAACTCCTCCCCATATTTTTTTTTGTTGTGGGGGATAAAACAACAGTACTCAGGGGGAGAACTCATTAAAACAACTGCCTTTGAAACATTTATAGAAAAGTCAGTGGGAAGCAACGTCACGTCAATGGGAAAGTGACTGAACCCGAGATGCCAGTCTAGTACCAATAACATTGCAGACCCTTTTTATC